GGTGTCAGCTAACGGCTCCATTTCCTATAAATAGAATGAGTAGCCGATTGCCACCATTCCACTCGGTTGGTCTAGACTGTTTCTAACCATTTTATATTAAGCGGGGCTGGTCCGTGGAGAGAAGATACGGATGTATCTTCACTTGCATGACCATGAGAGCAGTACATCTAGAGGTAGCGCATTCATACTCAACGGAATAATTCATCATGGCCCCGGACCGGTACATAGCTCGCAGAGGCAAACCAGAATACATATTCATTGATAATGGATCGAATTTTGTCGAAGAGTCTAATAAACTACGGGCTTGTTTGTTATCTTGGTTTCAGGATAAAATACATAAGCATCTCCTGAAGGACGCTATGCAGTGGCACTTCAACCTTCCTAACACCAGCCATAGAGGCGGAGTTTGGGAAGGGCTGATTAAGATAATAAACAGAATACTGAAAAAACTCCTCAGTGCAAAAGAGATGACCGACGAAGTGTTAATGACGGTCCTGGTAGGGGCCGAACGGATAGTGAATAATAGACCGCCCGTTCCGCAATCAGTCGATCCGAAAGCTTGCAAGGCACTCACGCCACAGATGTTGCTCACTATAGGGCGGTGCGATTCGAGTTCTGAGGTGAAAACCACGCTAGACCGCTATAACCGTAGAGGGCGAGAAGTGCAGGATATTGACGATTGATTCTGGAAGCGAAGAACGAGGGAATACTTGCCATTACTTCAAATTAAATCCAAGTGGTATATAAGACAGAGGGACTTTCAACCGGGAGATTTAGTGATAGTGGTAAAGGAAAGCAAACCCAGGAATGAGTGGCCTTTGGGTCTTATACAACAAATCAGGAAAAGCGAAGATGGAATGGTGAGAGAAGTGAAGGTAGAAACCACTAGTGGATCGTTCAGAAGAGACGTCAGAAATATCCGCCTTTTAGAGGAGGTCCTGGACAATATTCCTGGTGGTGAGCATGTAATTGGCCGACCCCAGGAAATGGTACGTCTATCTGCTTATTACATTTTGCAATCCTCCTCTTTTCCCGCTTACTGAGACGAACTGTTCAATTCCTTATCACCGGCGCTTATCATGGAACCTTCGGTCTCCATTTTTTACTCTTCACGTTCACCACCAATATGTCCCTCTTGTTTTACGTCTATCTCTCTAAAATTTTCATACTTCAAAACCAATACACACTTGACAATCGATAAACATACAATCCAGAATGTTCGGCTATTCAAGTTGACTGAAACGTTTTGAGCCAGATAATGATGTTTTTACACTTTACCAAGAAACAGCGAATTCACGAAAGCAATCAGCAGTTATTAATTTGGAAATTAATAACTCGGAGCGCAACGGGACATAATTGAACATAATGGACTAATGACTATTTGGATTCATTGGCAACCTGATCAACTCGGAGCACTTGGGCTCCATATTTGGCTAATGAACATTTGGGTTTATTAGCTCTCAAGCTATTCCAACTTGATTGACGGATTCACAAACATTCCTGATATCATACACAATACCGGCTTGCGAAATCCGCGAATGAAGCGTCACGGATTCGAAACGTTTGCCGGTCGTTTAGACTGAATTACCATGAAGCAATAACTAAACCCAAACCCTGGAGCAATCTCCTTTTCATTCGTAGGTCAGACATTTGCTTACAAATCACGGTAATTGATCATTGATTCTTGTATGTTTTTTACTTCACCTTACATTTGCTGTTACTCTTACCGTCACTGATTGAGAGCACTGCCGGGCGACAGGCTAGCTGTGCAGGTTGAGGGCTTACTCTTGACTAATTTATTTGCCACGAGCGTACAAGTCCTGGCCTTAGACATTAGGTCGCCATCAATCCTGGTGAACACGAATGCATGACAAGGTTACTTGCAGTGTCTGTCTCAAAAAGAGATGGAGAACATTGTGCCTCATTGATATCCACACGGGATTTAGCTACAATCAACATCACAGTTGTAATTGCCACGGATTATTATTACCGACTGCATGTTGTGGTCACCGGCGGCGTGACTAGCTTTCTACAAAAAATCAAACGAAAAAACACCGTGTTCGCCAAAACCCAGCTCCATCGATAGATATACTTGATCGATTTCCTATCACGATTGATTGAAACCGTCCACCTCTGACGAGCGATAGTGCCCCGATTTCTCAACACCCCGGCCAGTCGGAACATTTAACCGACTTTGGTGGATTCTTACTCTAACCGACGTATTGTCCTCTGGTCTCCGGTAACAATGTCAATCTTGGTGGTCTAACCATGTAACTTACAGGAGATGGGCGTTTGACAAATGACGTGATAGCAACTATCTCATCAGCCTCTACAAAAAATGAAGCTAGGCGGTAGTCAAAATAAATTATTTAAATATCACGTGAAAACATTCCGTTCGAAATCTACGCTGAGAACAACAAGAGAGCCGTTTGCCTCAGGGTGGTAAGCAGTGGTTCGAATGTGTTTCCAACCAAGCAGCCGTGTGAAATCACGGAAGAGACTGGAATTGAGTGCCTCTGTCAGTGGTTACCGTGTAGGGACACCGAAATGAGAAGTCCAGTACGACAGGAATTATTGTGAGACAGACTCACAGGAAACGTCGGCCGGGGGAACGGCCACCGACCAACGTGTGAAACGATCGACACATGTTAACAGATATTTCTTACCATTTGAAGTGGGAAGTGGGCCAACAAGGTCAATGTGAACTTGAGAAAACCGAAGGTCTAGGACAGGAAAATGACCTGGGGACGAAACGGTGTGGCGGTGAATCTTATTTCATTCACAATGTAACCAAGATTTCGCCCAATGTCGGACGTCTCTGTTTATGCTGGACCAAACGTAACGATCGGCAATCAGACGTAAAGTAGAACGGACATTGGGCTGCGAAAATGAATGAAAATGCGTAAAAATGGGTTAAGGCATACTAAACGGTAAAATGGGTCGAGGGTGTCCAAAGGAAGTATCACAAAAAATAGTGGATGATAAATGTGGAAGATGGACTTCCGTGCAACGTAGTGAGGTGGATTTGAGTAGGTCTCCGAAGTGATGGTCACTAAATTGATGTTGAGAAATGGTCTCAAGGCTGACATCGGATGGTGTAACCATACTGTTGATGTTGATCCGAGAGAGGCGGTCTGCGACGGTGTTGTCCGATCCGTTGATGTGTCGAATATCGGTGGAAAATCGAGAGATGAAATCCAAGTGATGAATTTCGCGCGGAGAATAGCGATCAGAACGTGCACGGAAAATAAACACCAGTGGTTTGTGGTCAGTCATGATGATGAATTGACAACCTTCGAGGAGGTGGCGAAAATGTCGTGTGGCAAGGTATACTACCAGTAATTCGCAACCATAGGTGCTGGAGTTAGTTTGGTATAGGAACAGCTTCTGTGAATAGAAAGCCAAGGGCTGCTGGACATTTGCGTCCATCTGATGAAGTGTCGCTCCAACGGCATGATTCGACGCGTCGGTATGCAGCAACAGTTGAGTGGATGGAGATGAGTTGAGGTGGAACAATATGGCGACGTCCTGGAGGGCTGATTTGACGGTGTCACACGCTTTGAGCGCCTCAGAAGTGAAGACAACGTCTTTTGCGTTACCGCGGAGCAACTGAGTGAGAGGATGAAGTATGGCAAAACAAATGGGGATAAAGCGACGATAGTAATTAATCAAACCCAAAAACGATTTCAATTGTTTGATAGAAGTGGGACGGGGGAGGTCCTGTACGTCAACCAATTGTGCTTACGT